TGCCCATTTAACTTCCCTTAAAATAACTACATGAATAACTACGTTTCCACTCCAACATAATTTGATAATGTTTCACTATGATACAGGTAGCTTTTCAGTAATAATGTTAATCATACAACACCAACTTCAATGTTTTGAAATACGCTGTTTAAAAATGGACACATTGCTGTTACCTGTGGAAAACAGGACAAAACTGCCTTGCTAACGCATTGGAATATAAACTTTACTTTTAATGTTCACATCGTTCATGTTCATTTTCAAAATTTGTTATGAAGCAATTTAGTTCACAATTATTGAAGTCTCTTTAAGATCTGCTATCAAAAACGAAAAAGATTACATTTGCCATGTGCATGTTGTAATGTGACCCTAAAATTCACCATGAATGACTCCCTCTTAAGTTTGAAATAGCACTCCCTAGGTTTGGTAATATTCATAGTATACCTGCCATGAAGTTTTCCTAGGCACCCTAGGTTTTTCATTATTTCAACAACAATTTCCCCTATCTCACCTTTATAACAGGAACCCTGGGTTTAAATCTTGAAGACAGCTGCGTCAACACTTCACTCAAGAGCTGCTGATGTTTCAGTACTTTACGCATCTTCATTATGCGAACTATAGCCGCCTGTGTACAAGAGAAAATTTGGTTGGTCATTCAAAACAAATGTACACCTAGATCAAGGGGGGTATTACTCTCAAGCCAAACGGGATGATGCAGCATGAACCTTCCTTTTGATCATGAACTGTTCAACACTTTTGTACTGAAAATTGAGAGTATTAACTACCTCATGGTCAAAACGCGAACATCAAGCAAAAATCCAATCCCACCGACAAACACTGTGGTTATTGAATTTCACACTTTGATTTAGAATTTAAGGCCAGTTAACTTTTTTGCGTTTGACTTGATTCTTTTTGTATTCTGGTTTTTTTTTGCATGTTTTATATATATATATATATACAACAAACTCGTCTGAAAAATATAGTCCATCAAACATTACTGAAATTGCAGGATTCTGTTACCAGTTCTGATCAAAGCGGGGAGTCGTCACCTGTGCATGCGTCAGGTGGCAATAGCGTGTCATTGTTTCCAAACAAGCATCTACCCATGAGCCTTAGCGTTTTTAGCTTGTGTTGTTATCGGTGCTTGGGACTCAATTCCCGTGCGTGCGCAGGTGACGACCCTCCCAGTTTAACATTTTTGCATATAACTAATACAATCAGTGGTTTATATGCATTTCTGCAAACTATTTCCTGCTCGCTGCGAGATCTTGCATTGTATGTGAAATTGAACGTATAACAGAACTAAAGATCATGTGAGATTCAACAAACGTATTTCTAGGCTATTTCCACATCTAATAATGTGGTATTTGATGAAGCAAGCATATCAACGCCATTTCGAAAGATCGGTATTTTGACACTAAGTTATGAGAAAAGAGATTCAAGTTCAAAATCAAATCATTTGTTTGTAGCCGCTGATGTTTGGTCAGCACAATACGCAAGATTTCATAGTGACCAGAAAATCACCGATTGAAGCCATCTTCTAAATGAGAATATGAGGTTATTATGAGGATACCAACAAGTATGCACAAAGGCAGAACAGCGGGAGTATCGACCGACATGCAGCAGAGGTCGATATTAACCTTATTATTATACATCTTTTCCCTTCAAGGATACATCATGGGAATGCCAAAATACAAAAAAAGTATAGAACAGATTGAGCGAACTTCTTTGTGTAAAGTCCGGTCAAACCCTGGGGGCTGCCATGTTAGTTATTAATATTATTACAGGACGCTTACATGCGTAATCGTTCTATATTTAGAATTTGCATTTCCTAATATGGTTAGATGAAACCACCCAGTGCAATACTGCAAAAATATGGCACGCTGTAACCTTATGGCGTCAGTGACGGATGTATAATAATTAAGGTATTCAGAAATTGGCGAAAAATTGGATTTTTAGTGTCGTAACAAATACCTGTATTAGCAGCTTCCTATCCTCCTCAATGTGTTTATGTGTTGTTTCTTGTTCTTGTTTCTGTTCTGTTTTCATTGGCACATTGATATTTACACGTAGCTTTTTACTGGTGGAAAAAACAAACAAAACTCAAAAGTGTGCCTAGGTACAATGCTAGTAATATCACATTGCCCATTCAAATTTAAGCAATCATAACACAAATTTCGTATTTGCTGTATTATTAAACAGAGGTGATTCTATGGTCAAAATAAGAGGTACAATGCTAGTAATATCTCAACATCTCATTTAAGCAAACATCACATTCAAGATTTACTGTGTTAGTAGCACAACAATGTTACTATGGTCAAAATATAATAATAATAAATATAGTAATATTTTAATGATTCAGTATACAACAAATGGAATTTTCATTTCTATTAGAGGTGTTCTTTTAATAGAGGAAATATGATATTATGTAATGGCTTATGTTCATTGGCCGTTTTTGCAGTGAAAACCATGATTGCTCTTGATGTTGTAAAGTTGAAACAATTGATTACATACTTTGTTTCAAAATATTGTTGATTACCTGCAGACTTTGTCTACAGTTCTGGCATAATTACAAATCCAAATGACGTAAATAAGTCTAGACTGCAGACAAGTCACAACAATATTTTGAAACAAAGTAGATAATCAGTTGTTCTAATATTACAACATCCAGCAATCACAAAATCTTTGTGGTTTTCACTGTAAATGCTATATA